TAAAGTAGATGAGTGTTTTTCTATTAGTCTTGGAATTCAAGTTTTGAGTGACTATGATATTCCATTATATAACTACCACAGTTTGTTTAATAGCTATTTTGGAAATTTTAAAGTTTTTTTCCATGATGGGTTATGGCCTTATAATAGATTTTTAATTGTGGACTAATGGCTCAAAAGGTCTTGGATTTTTTGTTTTTTTGGTTTTTGGGAGTTTTTTTTTGGTTAAAAATTTTTAAGTTGCTTTTCAGAAAGTCTGTACCAATTTACACTGCCTCTGGTGGGGACTTTCTCATTTTCATTACCTGCGTAGACTATTACTTTAAAAAATACCTATCTTCCAGTTTAATAAAGATAGGACCTAGTTTCTAAGTGTGTTTATATGACTACTGGTGAGGCTGAATATGTTTTACTTAATGGATGATTTCTTTGTGATTTATTTGTGGCTTATGGTCAGAAATCTTTTGGAATATTGGTATTTTCTTACTTGTAAGAGTTCTTTATGTATCAAAACTATTTTCTTGTAAGAGTTCTTTTTATATCAGGACTCTTGTAGTACTGTCAGTTATTGTAAATATTTTCTCAATTTATAATAAAGTTTGCCTTTTGTCTTTTAATTTTGTTTATGGCAAAAGCTAATTTTATATAGAGGGTAGTATTGTTTATCTTTTTCTGCCTTGATTTCTTTCTCTCTGCGTTTGAGTTCTTTTTTATTCTTTGATCAAAAAGAATTGTCCCTATAGTTTCTCATTAAAATGCTTAACAATATCTGGCATGTGGTAGGTTTGTTAAGTATTAGTACAGTATATATTGTACTTACTTTGCTCCACCTGGAATTTATTTTTGTAATAGTATAGGACTTGACTTGAATCTTAAGTGTTAACTCCTACACATCAACCAGATTCTCTATTTAATAATGGGGGAATATTAAATTCTAATATGTTCATGATGTCAGGTTAGTATAAATGTTAGGATCTCTTTCAGGTCTATTTTTTTTTCTTGATTTAACTACCTAATTATTATGCCAGTATAAACCAAAATCATTGTTGCTTTATAGTAAATTCTTTATGATCTAGCTACCGATACTTTTTTTTCATATTAACTTTATAAACATATCATGATCTCCATCCACACACACTAAAAACTTTAAAAAATATTAAGATTTGATTGGGCTTATACTGACCCTGTATATACCCTAATATACCATTTTTTCCCCTGGAATATTTAGAAAATGTAGCTGAAGAAAACATGTTAATTGGTGAAGAATGGCCATTTTTAAAAGTAGGTATTCTTGTTAACTAAAAAAAAATGGTCTGTTCTAACATTATCAGAATTTTTATCTCTCTCAGTAAAAGTTTAGTTTTCTCCATAGAATTCCTTACTTGTGATCATTCCTTATTTTTAAATTGTTGCCTTTGTGAATTAATTTTTTACCATTTGTATAGTGGCTTATGTATTATATATATTACATATTTTATAGTATATATGTATTATGTGTAAAACTCTTGGATTACTATTTTAATCTTGTTTTTGACTGATTATCTGCATTCCTTTTATTCTTTGAGTTGATCTGTTGAGTAAACATATGTATTTTTCTATTTTCTGTAGTTATATTTCAGTTTAAGAATCATTGAGGTAGTTCTCAATGAAAAAAAAAACATTGGCCCTGTTTTCAAATGAACTTTGTCATGGAATCTTTTCATATAAAACATGAAAGTGCAGTTGTATTAAAGTGAGGGCAGGAGAACTAGAACTAGAACACTGCTCTCCTGGTTTTACTAATTATTACTGAGACACCTGAGGAAATTAGTTTGAAAACTATTGCTAAACCATAAAACAAATGTCTGATAAGTAGATTTTGGCTATGGCTTATAGTAATTTCTTCTAGTTTTAATTTTCTGATAGTATTTATTTTTTAACTCATAAGTGGAAGCAGTTTTATTAAATTCCTTTAAATAAATTTGTGTTTATAATGTGTTTTTATTAACTTGTTTCAAACCTTCGGTATGTTAGAAAATTCTCATTGCCATCAGAATCTCATGTTAATTCTGTTATCTATATTCTAATATGTGTTTTTAATAGCATTTTAGTTATGACAAATACCCTTAATTAGTTTTATTCTGTTGTATAAATTTGTATTTTAAACATTTATTTAAAAAGTCATAAAAGCATGAATTCAGTATTTTGCATATGTTAGTTTTCTGTTTAATATTTTTTTATGATCTTGACCTGTTTTTTTCAGTTTTTAGGATATTGACGAAAGTGAGATATTCACATTTAGAATCTGTAGGATTCAGTTGGAAGTTGAAATAATTAAGATTAATAAACAGAGGCAATTACTTTAGCTCCAGTTGTCCTTTAGCTCAGACATTTGCTCTGTAAAGGGAGAGAAAACAATTCCTACAGATACAGAAGTGTTTTTCTTCCTCTTCTGATATATTGTATCTTGAAAGTAGTAAGATTTATAGTTATATCATGCTTAGAGGAGGGTGTGTTTGTGTGTGTCGATGAAGTGCAGGACAGGTTTCTTCCTAAAACTCAGAATGTCACTTTTGAGTGTTTGTGTGCATTATCTGTCTTCTGAGAGTAATGTTTGAGTGATAAAGTGATATTCTGTGAGGTATATTAGAAATGTATACATAGTAGCAGTATTCTTTCGTCTTCTTAAACCTATGCTAATTTAATAGTGAAATTTTGTAGTTGAGCAGTAAAAAATGGAAAAACAAACCCCAAATCTAAAATCGGCTAGAAGGATTTTACCAACTCATCCCAAAACAATAGGTGACTAACCAGTAGAGTGAATAAATAGTGTTACTTTTGTTTGTTAGAAATGATCCAGTTGTGCTTCACATAGCCACCTTTTTTAAAATTTCTAACTGCAACATGCCTATTGTTTACAGATGTATCTCCGTGCCCAAAGAAGCAAGAGATAAGCAGTAATGCTTAGAGTTTTCTAAGGTTTTGCCCACCAGATATAAACAGTTAAAATGGAGAAGAAAAATAGCAGAGGGATCAGATTTCCTCTTTTCCCTTCTCTTTATTTGCACCTAACATTAGGTGCCCCTCCAGTGTTAGAAAATGGTTATGAAGCCTTCCTTGGCAAAAGATGAAGAATAATCAGAGAATAGTAGAATAGAGGACAGGCCATTTTTGCTTAGCTCTTTAGACCTTACAGCAGGTGTCATATGTGAAATATATAGCAGAATAACATAGTGGTTGAGATCATGGTCTTAAAGGTGGAACTCTTTTCCATCTGCTTTTTTACTAGCTGTGTGATCTTAGCTATTTAACTTCTTGCATGAGTCTTCCTTTCCCATCTCTTAGTGTTATTTGTAAGGATTCTATGAGATCATGTATGTAAAGTGTTTAGTACCAGGCATATAGTGTATGCTCTATCAGTAAATAGTTCCTGCTGCCCTTCTTGGTAGTATTTTTATAGGGGTTTTGGTTAATAGATGTCAGTAAGATTCCAGTTGAGATTATATGATTCTGCTGTATACTAAGAGGTGAGAAATTTAAATTATTTGCTTGAATTAGAATTTCATCACCTATAATCTTGATCAAAACAAACTAGTGTAACTCTTGAAAGTTTTGGTATTTTTATCCCTTAAAATATTTATTAACACTTTGAGCATAAAGATTATAGTTGTTCCTGAATTTTTTTCTTTGACCAAATGCAGTGCAAATATAATTTAAAATTATATTTTCATGTGTAATAAAAAAATCATATAATACTGGGCATGAATAAGGCACAGTTAATACTTGGTGAGATGTTGAAATATTATAATATAAAAATTCATATTTTCTGAAGAATTAATCTTGCATACTGAGAGTGGAGGGACAAAAATAAATTAATAAAACATTTATTTTAGGGCACCTGGGTGGCTCAGTCGTTAAGCATCTGCCTTTCGGGTCAGGTCATGATCCCAGGGTCCTGGGATCGAGCCCTGCATCGGGCTCCCTGCTCCGCAGGAAGCCTGTTTCTCCCTCCCCCAGTCCCCCTGCTTGTGTTCCCTCTCTTGCTCTGTCTTTCTCTGTCAAATAAATAAATAAAATCTTTAAAAAAATTTATTTTAAAATAAAGATTTTCAGCAGTAGTAGGAAACTTTATTTGATCCAGTGTTCTTTGAGAACGCAGCGTTATCAGCTTACTATCAGTTCTTAAAGTGTTCTTAGGGATATTGAAATGATTTGAAATTGATGTCTGAGCTGGGAGAAACTTAGTTATCTGTTAAGAATTCTGTTTCTCGTTAAGTCTGCTTTTTAAACTTGAATTTTTCCAAAAGGAAAATACTATCTTTTAAAAATCCTACACTGTAATCATAACTTCGGCAAGTAATGCTTGGGTTATGTTTCTGGATGCATACCTGTACATGCATACCTGTATACACATATACCCCCTCTCCTTTTTTTCTAACTTCTTAAGTGTAAATGAATTACTCTACATTGAAGGAAGAATTACTTTTGTCTCTCATCAGCCTTATCTAATTTGGTATTATCCTCTTATGTGTGATTATTTAATAACTTTGGCATTTAGTAATTTTAGTCTTTTTATAATCATATAGAATAAGTAAAGTGAAAAATGAACTTAACCAAGAGCTGGGGGTGTTATATAGCTTGGCTTTCAAAATTACTCTTATGTATTCTAGAATACTTAGATTACTAAACTGAAAATGGGAGATAAATTCAGTATAAATAGAATTCATCATACTAAATAAGTACTTAAATAGTTTCTGTGATTCTGAACTTTAACAATTATAAGAATTCTGTTTTGGTACAATTTCTCTTCAGAAGAGAATCAAGAATAAAATTGGTTGTCATTAGATTTAGGATAAATAATATCTTCATTAGATTAAGTTTTACATACTTTTATGAAATAAAAACACTTAAACTTAGCAGGTTACTATTTCTTGATTTTAAAATTTGTAATGGAGCCAAACAAAATTACTGTGAAAATATTTGTACTCTAACACTCAGTAAAGATTTTTTTGTTTACCTTTTTTTTTATTAAAAACTTGGTAAAAGTGCATTGTATACATTGTCATCCTAGAATCAAGTGTTCATCAAACATTTATAACTTTCCCCCATCCCTCCCAAAAAAGGTTTGAAATTGGTGACGCAGAACAGTTGTCATCTACCAAATTAAAAACTGCAGGTTTGTAAACTTGGCACTCTGAGAAAGAAATAGGTGCCATAAAATGATTAAGTATTGGCATGTGTACACCTGCTGTCAGGAAATAAACTTCCCATATGTTGCAGTTTGGCAGACATGCATCTTAAAAATGTATTGAATGAAACTGCTGCTGCACTCTTTATCCTGTATCTTTTTTCAACAGTACATTTCTCTTTTTGCCTGTAATTACTTTTGCTTCCGTTAGAGGAACGTGATATATTTTTACAGATATCCTTGAAGTTAAGTGGTAGTACTCCTTAAGAGTGCAGTAACTGATCTAGTAACTCATTGAAATACTAGCTTGGCCCTTAACACCAACGAGGAAACAAACTATTTTGAAACATTTACTTTTTTTTCTTATAAAAACTTGAGCCTGAGACACATTGATTTTTCACATTTTATCACATCATGTCAAAATAATTTCCCCCGATATATGTACTAGTATAAGAAAATGAATATCCCAGTTGTTTTTAAAAGGTAAATACTTAGGTGAGAATTGCACTGATGAAACAGCTGAACTTTATAAATGTGTTTATGGACTAATTCAACTAAATCTTATTGCATGGAATATAGTTTCAGAACCCTAGAATAGTCAGGTCAGAAAATTTGTCCTTTGCACAATTACAAAGTTTCCTTAAGATTGATAGTATTGTTTTATTTACATTTAACTATATGTTAAAATGAAAAACTGATTCTAAAATGAAGGCTCTTTTGACTGTATCCATTTCTTAAGTTAAAATTTATGTGGAAAATATATGCAAGTACATCTTATTGGCCTCTAACATAAGCCTTGAACCATTGATGTATGCATGCTTGTTATTGCATGTTAATACACAGAATCCCCTTGTACAGTTTTTTTTTTTTAATAGATTCTTTTGGGATACCTTTTTGTTATATAATGTTGTATTTTTAATTACCTTCAGAAATTAAAAAAATAATTTTTGAATTCCTTTATGTGATGAGTTTTAACTAAAACTTGTCCTATGGATGTAATCAGTTTTAACTATACATGCTTTTAGCAATATTTTACAGATTGCACATTTGAAAAAGAAATTGTCTGCTCTAGTGTAATTTACGGTGGCGATACCTGCCTGCCTTTTCTTTTGCTGCGTTGGCACAAGCATTGTGCTTATTTTGTTGTAAATGGTTCCAGTATTTTATCAGTTCACTAGGCTGGAACTGATGAGAGGTAATTAGGTGGCTGTATTTACAGCTCGAGTAAGAAACTCGCCAGTGATTGAACACAAACTCATTGGGAGGGGGCACAGGATCAATTCTCAGCTTGGCAAGACAGATCCCTACATATACATCTTCTAAGTGCAAACGACGGATACTTAAAGAAACTTTAAATATCTTCTCTGCCAGATCTCCAGAAAAAACATAACCAGTCCCAGAACAAAAGACAGGGTAGCGTTCACTTGGGTAGAGGTCTGGTGGCATGTACCACTTGCTATCTTTGTTCCGATTGGGTGCATATCCTCTCATTAGGTAACCAGTAAAATAGTTATGTCTGGGAGGCAGGTCTGGCTTCAGTAACTTATGTATTAAATATTCAGTGTTGACAAACATGTCACTGTCAGTTTTCATAACATATGGAATATGTGGACAGTATGTTGCAACCCAGTTCATGCCCATAAGTGTTTTAATTGTCAAATTGTAGTATGTATCTAAATATTCCTGTTGAATTATATCATGATACTGTCTGCTTTCTTCCAGTATTGCACGTTGAAGGTAGCCATTTAACTTAATATTTACGCCCAACAAAAAAATTCGTGTGATTTGGATACCAGGTGCTAGACTTTCATTGCCCCACGTTTGCCGAATAGCTCTTCTAGCTTCTACTTGTCCAGGTTCTGCAGCTATTAGCAGTATTAAAAAAGGGCTTTTCTCCTGGCATTTTTCAGGTTCATTGATAATATATCTGAAATGGTAAGAATTTGGATGTCCGATACCTTTTTCATTGTAAATACTTCCATTGGCACTAAGGGTATTCTCCAGCCCTGTAACTCCTTGTGGCGACAGGTCTGTGTTATTGGAGTTAGTTGCTGTTTGAGGCCTCAGAGTTTGAGGGACTGTTTCTTTCCAAATGTTCCGGAGAGAGCTGTGGTTTGTCTCACTTTTTGTAGAACGAAATCCTCGGAAAGTATATGTCACGGGGTTTTCTTTAAATCCAGCTCTGCCTGGCAGCCAGTCATGATGATTGAAAAATAAAAACATAGCAAACAGAAACACTAGAGAAAGTACACCAATAAGATGGGTACGGAACAGAGACCTCTTGGCATTCCAGCTCATCTTTGCAAAGCAGCAGTGTCTTCTCCTCCACTGAAGCATGGTGTAAATATCCAGTAACGGGATACGAAATAGTACTGATGGCTGAAAATGTTTCCTTCTCCCAAATCGGTACTATTCTTTGGTAATCATTTTTTAAATCAGCCACGTTGTCTCCCATGCAGTCATTCTATAAAGATGAAACATAAAAATTTATAAAATGCTAAATATTTACAGAACTGCCTGAAGAGAGACTTTGGATGTTAATAATATTAGGGCAAATAGGAATTTTTTAAGTTGTGAAAATATGATAACCGAGGAATTAGTTTATAATTTGCTTACCCTTGGTAACATAACATCACTGAGAACAGGATGAACACTTCAAAGAGAGAAGTGATGGATTGATTTTCTTCCAGTTATTTCATTGTCTAGGTAGCTCTGGTCATTTGTACTTTTGACATGAGTTAAAGATTTAGAAGTTGTATGCATGTAGAAGAGAAGAATGTTACTAGATTCCTGAGAGAGGCCATGTAAGAAGGCCTGAGAGCAGATGGAAAATTTATTGGCATTAATTAAAATTGATTTGACATACCATTGGTGTTATGGTGCACAGTCAGCGGCCTTTTTTGTAAAATGGTCATGTATCAGTTGTGGGACAGACGGTGCAAGGTTGATTATGGCAAAGTTCTGTTAGTCACAGTACACTGCTTGGCATGTTTCCATTGGCCCCTACTGTGTTGAGAAAGTCAATGAGAAGATGCACCTGTCAGAATTAATTTTCAGGGTCCAGTAACTTCAGTACAGGATTTTAAGACAGTAATAAAAGACGAACATTTTCAAATACTTTCTGATTTTAACCTTCCACTTCAAAGATGAGGTATTCAGGAGATCATTGTCCTTACTTAGACTTAAGATTCATTTTTAAAATATAGCAATTATCTTTAATTATCTTTGGCCTTGGCAGAACACTTATCACATAGCTCAGTTGAGTCTCCGTGTTAGAATTAAACAAAGAACTACTTTGAACAGTCCTTTCAGATTTCTTACAAAATATAGGCACTAGGTACTATCATATCCAGCTGTTTAAAATTTTAAATTTTACAAAATGCATTTTGAAAGATTCTTGAATTTTGCTGTGTTCTACATTTGTGTGCAGAAAATTTGTTACATTTTTAGGACTTCTGGCAGCATGATACTTAGAACCCTAGATTTTTAAAAAGATTATGAGATGTCAGTATGGGAGGTTCATGATGCTACATATTGAAAACTGGTGGTGTTATCTTTGAACAAGATTTTTCAGTACATAGCACAAATTTGTTCATGTTTTTCAGTTCTTTGTTTTTCTGGATCAAGATGTGAGGGTAGAGGTGGGTAAAAGGAGCTGTAACTTGATTTCTATTTAAAGAGAAAAAACTTGAGAAGGGGACTGATAACTAATTTTAATTTTTTCAATTTTTTTAATGAAAATTATTTCTTACGCAAAAGAAAACTAGTCAATTAAATTTAATGTAGTAGCGTTTATCTAAAAATCTGTGCATATATATCTATGTTTTGCATGATATTAAGAGATTCATGCTTAATACCAAATTTGCTTAGCCTTGACATGAAACTTAATTATCTTGGGGAAATGGTATTTACATGGAAGTTCTCATATAATTGAATAATGACAGGAAAATTCACATATATAGTATGAAGTACTTTGAAAATACTGATTGTGAAAGGGTTAGACATATATGAATGAAAGTACTATTCTAGCAGCAGCCACTAGGAGGAGCAAGTAGGTGGGAATTTGAACAAATTTCCAAAGTATAGTAGTAAAGGCGCCAGCTTTTGATAATTTCTAGCATCTGAAATTATGTAGTACTTTTAGAAGTTATGGTTCTCAAATGTAAAATATTGTTCAGTCATTGTGTGAGATACGAACACTGATTTTTTTTTATTTAAGTTTGGGGTTTTAAAAACCTAGAACCTAGTTTGCTATTTATTAGAGTTTATTTACATAATCTTTAATTTCACATTGCTATAGTAAAGACCAAGGCTGTTCACCATCCAGCAAAAGAGTTCTGCTGTGAACTAAACTGAAAATAAGCTGAGAGTTCTGATTTAGAAACTCACTTTTTTTTTCCCTTCCTGTATTTGTAAATAGTTGGCCATTCTGTTTAGACCAGGAAACTCTTTCTAAGCTTTTATTTTCACATGAAATATTTGATAAATAGTAACGATTCTTCCAAGTCATAAAGAAGCCAGTAGATATAAGGGTTATGTGTATAAATTTAAAAGAAACAAAAGTTGCTTTTTAAATTTATTTGGTAATCTATTTTAAACATTCTAAAACTAAGTTAAATATGTCACCTTTTTGTTGATATATGCTTGGTATCTGGTTGAAGTCCCATCATTTATGTCTTTTAAAAGTGTAAATTTGATGGTTTAAGAAACAGTAAATATAAGATCAGATTTTTGAATAAACAACTGAAGAAATGAATGAAGGTAAATATCATAGTAATAAATTGTGATATTTTATGAAAGCAGTATACCTGAAATGATATCTCTAAAGTATTTCCATATTAGAGAAAACAGCATATTATTATATATTGTAATCTAGCATAAATACATAGTTTATGGTCCTATATGACTTTGTAGCACCAGGTGATGGAGATGCATCTTAATTTAAATTCATGACATTCGTATGTTTGTAAATATTAAACTTCCCAGGCTTTAAATTCATATATACTCAGTTGGTAATCTCCCATTGATAAATGAAGTGCATGTGTCTAGCTTTAAACATTTCTTTATTAGAAGTTTCTCAGGTATTCGTCATAATTTTTCTGTTAAAAAGAAAGTAAAATTAAAGTAACTGTTCTTCATTTTATTAAATGTTGAAATTATTCTCCAGTTACTGCCTGTTGTGGTTTAATTCTTAAAAAGTGGGAACATGACAAGAAAGTTAAAATACTGTGGCAATCTAAATAGTTTTGCACTTCTACATTTCCAGCATAGAAATACGTTTGATATAGCTCTTAGGGTTTTTTTCTGATAATATTTTCAAGTTACTAATGTGTATTTACATCTTATGAATGGAAGTTCATGGAGAGATTGTTAACTGTGAAATGTTCAGTTACTTCTCACATACTCGTTCTCTCTCTCTCACACACAGTTTTTATCATTTGGCTTTTAAAAGTGTTATCTTTAGTGTGTTGAACAGTCCTAGATTTTACTGGTGCTTGAATAAAAAAACATTCTGTGCTTTTTAGATATCTAGCTTATAAAAATGTTTAATTGGTGCTGTTAACACTGAGAGAAAAGGATCTAAGAGAGATCTGAGATTTTTCACAACTATATTTTTTTATGTAATACCATCTGATTTCATTCTATAGTGGAACAAAAATTCATGGTATTGGCAGTGAGAGTTGATGTTGAGATGTGATAATAATAGGGCCTGATAAACTTGTTTAAAATTTTAATTTTAGAATGGAATGCTTACATGTGCCTTTAAAATGTTTGCCTTTTGTGATTATTAAATAATAGGTTATTGAGTTGTGTTGTGAGATTGAGCAAATGTCAGGATCTGTGGATAGAACTGTAAAAAATTTTTGAATTTTAGTTCCTGAGCCATGAGTTGCTGTTCTAACTGTGATTGTTGTTTAAATAGTTTATCAGATTTATTTCTACCAGGTACACACATACCATGATGGTAGTTTGTTAGTACATATTAATATAGCCTAGAAGCGCAGTAGCTACATTTATATTTAATTTTTTGTCCTTGTATTGCTGTTCATGAATATTTTTATATTAGATTATTTTCATACTCTGTTTTGAATTTCACTTTAAAAATTATCACCAAGAACAATCTTGTATTTGATTATTTGGAATCTGTCAGTTGCTTAAAATGAAAGCTCACTTTTTCAAGTGGGGGAATTTTTAGCAACTATTGATATTTCTTTGTTTAAAGTTGTATTCATGGACACTGTAATAACATGCAAATCTGTGGTAGTGTGTTGTGCATAAAACTCACACCGCCTTATGTGATCCTGTGCAAATGCTTTCCTTTTAGTATTCTTATAGCTCTATAATAATATTTGTTGATACTCTTAGTTTGTGTTTGTTATCCTTATTTGGGGAGATGGATCTTGGAGGGAAGATTTCGTTAGTAAAAGCTGTTATATATTAATTTGTTTTAAAAGGACTTTGAAAAAAGCTCTTAATATTAAGATCATCTTTGATACTATTTAATATAATTTCACTGCATTGTCTCTTTTGATAGCCGCTTTTAAGAGATCACTTTAATTTACTAGATAAGAATTTATTTTGACCTATTTTGATAGAGGCTTACTGTGTTTTCTCTAGAGGGCTACAGTTTTTTTCTTTTTAAGTTTAATTTCTCAGAGAATCCTCTAAGCACATCTTGTTATTATTTGCCTTTTCTCTCTTTTATACATCCATAATCCATAATTACTTCAAGCTACATATTTACTTGAATAAAGCAAAGACAGCTTTAACAATGACAGATTTTAAAATCATATATCTAGAAACCCTTTCATAGTTTCAAGGACGGTGAACTGGATGAACTTGTTTATCAGATATTAGTGCCTCCGGGGCTATGAAAAGGTAACAGACATTTAAATGAATATTACACACAAGATATCGACATACCTTCCTTGGTCAGGCCATTTATGTGGAGAGGATTATGCCCACTGAAAATACTTTTGGCACGCCATCACTTCAGCAAAAATGATGCTATCGAACATGCGCACATCCCCCAATAGTCTGCCTCCTGCGATTGCTTTTCACAGTATCCAAAGTGTCCATCTGTCTGCTTGTCTTCGAGTTACCCTTCTTGTTCATATGGGTCCTAGTCATCTGAGATTTTTCCTTTCTTTTACTTTCTTTCTCGTTCTTTAAACAAAAGAGCTGTAGTTGTCCGCTCTATTGGAGCACTGTTGACTCTTGCCGACAGTTGATGCATTGAAGCTTTTTACATCTGCTGTTTTCCTGGCCGGACAATGCAGTGCTGTATTCTCTTCTCAGTATCCATATTTCTAGTAATAACACTGAGCTGCAATGTAAAGCAGCCAAAGCGAGAATGTAGTGCTTCGATTGTATTGGAATAGAATAGGATTTAACTCTCTTTTGCTGTTGCCTGGCAGCTGCAGGAAGGATTTTGAGCAGTTTTACTGGGGTTTTAGTCTATAATATGAAATCCACGGTTCCTCAGCTGCTGCACAGGCAGGCAGCAGTTTAAATGTGGGCTTGACAGATGCTCTCTCTGACAGAGCAGAATTTAACGTCACTGCTTGGCTGAATCCCACGTGATTGTTTGCATTCATTTTGACTAAAAACCTAAGGTAGGGCGAAGCTTAGAGATTTTGCTTCTGTGTGATAAATTATATATATTCAGTGTAAGTGTAGTGATGAATGCATAATATGAAAATGGGATGATTATGAAATGGTTATAATTTTATTTTTTCCTTTCCTTTTTTTTTTTTTTTTACTTTATGCTTAAGCACAGGCTTTCTAAATGTTTCAGTGTTAGATGTTGGCTTTCATGTTTCTTACATGATTTTAGGGGACCTAAGCAATAACCTTTTATATGTAACTTGGTGCAATTTAACCCCTTCAGTGCACTCCTTCCTTTGAAGTTTATTTTCTCAAATTGCTCCAATTTTACTAGTATCTAGATAAGACTCAGTCCATTTATTTTTTTATCTATAACTTAAATACCCCCCACCCCCAATTTTCTGGAGTTTATAAATCAGCTGGAGTGGATTACTTAATGACACCTGATAGGATACAGCTCAGTTCTTTTTTGCTCTTAATGTGGTTTCTAATGTTCTTGAAGGTAGCAAAACTTTATTTTTAATCACCTTTTAATGTCAGCATTTATTTTTCCTTTTCTTTAAAATTAACATGTATGTTAGAATTCAACAAAATGATTAGTGGATATAGCATACTTGTACAGGATCTTCTTGGTGAATAATAACGTTTTACTTATCATATTTACTTGTCCTAATATTTCAGGATTGTTTACTAACTTGCCTCCAAACACATTTTTCAGTAAGCACTAGATACTCTGAAATATTTCTTTGTATGGTTAGTCTCCTGGGCACCTTGCTTTTTTTCTGCAGAATACTGGGGCATTGCCTTTTTTTTTTTTTTTCCCTCCCCCTTAATAGCCTGAATTATCAGTTTTTCCTATGAGAGTTCAGGGACATTAACTCCTAAAAATTTATCGTTTTAGAACTTAAGCTATGAATTTGTAGTCATATATACGCTTTATCCCACCTGTCTTCCCTAATTAAATCTGTTACTTCAAATACAGGTTCACATTTTCTCTAATACTTTAAATTTTTTTGTCCTCATGTTTTTTAGTGTAGCTGATAAAATACTTTTTGTACTTGGAGGAATCCTGTGATTTTTTTTTTTTAAGGAGTTTATGTGACTTTCCCAGAAATGTTAGAAGGAATATTAAGAGTTTTATAAATGGGAAACCCAAGGTCTAGAGCTTTGGCTTTTCCTAGTTAAGTGTGAAGGAGAAAATTGGAAGCCAGTTTTTACTTAGTCTCTATGTCTACTCATACTTCATGCTCATTGCTTTTTTTTATATTAAAGGTAGGTAGCAGAGTAATGTTACAGTGCTTACATAAAATAACGTATTTTACAAAAGTAGAGGTGGATTTTAGGAGATCAGTATTTTTTTTTTAATTTTTTTATTCTTATGTTAATCCCCATACATTACAACATTAGTTTTAGATGTAGTGTTCCATGATTCATTGTTTGCATATAACACCCAGTGCTCCATGCAGAATGTGCCCTCCTCAATACCCACCACCAGGCTAACCCATCCTCCCACCCCCCTCCCCTCTAGAACCCTCAGTTTGTTTCTCAGAGTCCATCGTCTCTCATGGTTCGTCTACCCCTCCGATTTCCCCCGCTTCATTCTTCCCCTCCCGCTACCTTCTTCTTCTTTTTTTTTTTTTCTTAACATATATTGCATTATTTGTTTCAGAGGTACAGATCTGAGATTCAACAGTCTTGCACAATTCACAGCGCTTACCAGAGCACATACCCTCCCCAGTGTCTATCACCCAGTCCCCCCATCCCTCCCACCCCACCCCCCACTCCAACAACACTCAGTTTGTTTAGGAGATCAGTATTTATCAGTAATTCCTTACATAGGATTTGATTATGCAGCCAGCAACAGTGACTGTTATTTACCCAAAATCAGATTGCATGCTAAGGCTACCTAAGTTGTAGTTAAATGACTTTTTTCTCTCATAATAATAGTTTTATTATCATACCCATTTTAAAGATGAGGAACCAGTGCTTAGAGTTGTAAATAATTATCCTAGATATCAGCTAACTGGTGATAAGAGAAGCAGGCTAGGAACTAAAGCAAGATTATCTAAGTCTTTATGCTCTGTTCTTAACCATTATACTAGGTAACACTGCTGGAGAAATTATGGAAATTCTCTTTTTTTCCACTTCTTTTTTTTTTTTTCTAAGATTTTATTTATTTGACAGAGAGACATCAAGAGAAGGGAACACAAGTAGGGGGAGTGGGAGAGGGAGAAGCAGACTTCCCGCTGAGCATGGAGCCCGATGCAGGGCTCCATCCCAGGACCCTGAGATCATGACCTGAGCCAAAGGCAGCCGCTTAACCGACTGAGCCACCCAGGTGCCCCAGTGGGAATTCTTTTATACGACTGGCACAGCATACCCAGAAATCATTCATAGAATTATAAATGGATGTTTATATTTTCATTTTATTCACTTGTCAAACAAAATACATATTGATTAACTACCGTGTGCCAGTATTTGTAGGTACGCACAGTTTATTAAATGTTAGGGGGACAGAGATGGTTTAGACACCTTCCCTACCCTTTCTCTAGGAAGGATAAAACTATTTTTTTTGCTAGTTCCTTTGATTTGACTCTTTTGGTGTCCCACTGGATTTATTAAAGATCTTGATTAAGAGAGCTCCGTCAGATAACCTGCTGGTTAATGGTTCCCCCAGTATTGGTTTGAGCCCCTGAATTCCCAGTGGACTGTTGTCTCAATTATGCTTGCTAGGGGATAAGGGTTAATACAGCAAAAGAGACTCCTAGAAACTGATAAAAAGGTGCCTGTCTACTTAATCAGAATTTAAACTTTTAGGTACACGTGCCATTGGTTTCTTAAATTTAAATTAAGCTGGCTAAGACAGAAAAACAGAGCAGACACCAGATTAAAGTTCCTTTAGTGACTTTTTCTAGCAACCTGCATGTTTCCAGCCAAGAGAAACTGTAAAAATCTTATGATAGGCAAGCTTGTAGAAGTTCTTCCTTTAGTCTAGTTTCTTTTAACATCTGAATTCTATGGTTAAACTTTCTCAGTAAATGTGACAGATTTCTTTGTCAGACTCAGGAAGCTGGCAGCTGTTTTGTTAAGTTTTATAGTTATAAATGTCTTGTAATTTTTACTTGTATAGGTCTGCTTTTTAATCTTATAACACATCTCTGATGGGCAAAATAGGCTATTACTCTGTATTTTGGCCAGAACTGTCCAGGTTGGTTTTAGGATTTTCCTGGGCATGTCTGCATACAATAGCCCTCAGGGAGGCAGAATTTAAAGACAGGTTTTGAATAGCCACCTAATTCTTAGTTTCTGTTGAGTACAGAAGTAATAATTACTTTATTCATTTGGCTAGTAGTCTCTGAGTCATTATAACATGATGAATCAGGTTTAGATTTGCTTACTAATAATAAAGATAAGTTATTTCGTGGAATTTACTACCTATATAAATTCAACTAAATGTCCTTGGTAAAAAGAATGAGGGAGAAAAGGGTGTAGGAGATAACACTTCAACCGTGACAGGCGATTCACTGAGAATGAGCAAATATCCTTGAATAATTTGAGAAGAGGAGACGTGAATCTGGTTTTCCCTACATTGGTCTTCATTCCTGTTGGTGCTTTAGTATGAGTAATTGACCCCTAAATGCAAGCCATTTTTATTTCAGCCAGTGCTCACCTGAAGAACTAGTTATTTTTTCCAGTGCTAGAGAAAAAACGTTTTGGATCAGGTGTTATTTCCACCATAGTACTCTGAAAAATGCCATTTGACATAGTTATTTAGAGACCAGCCTTAGTTTTAATTGAGATCAGTCAACAGTTTTGCATAGAGTAATGTTTGCTTAGAGTTTATATCTTTTGACTTAAAATCAGATGAAATCTTTTTCAATATATAAATATATGGACAAATAGCACATTTTTGGCTGTTTAATATTAGTAAGTAGTTTTTTTGAAGAAAAATTACTGTGTGTTCATTAAGAGTTTACAGTTTTCCTTTGAAATCAGTAGGTGATTTATGAACCAGTTTTACCTTTCCTTGAATTTACAAAGCAGGCATTAGCCTGATTTCAAATTAGCAATCTCAGAATGACCACAAGTGTCAGTGTTTGCCTGCCTTATTTTTCTTCTTCAGTTTTCACCAACTTGTGCAGCAGATACTCACACTGTTTTAAGAATTTCTTTTGACATGAAAGCAGAGCTAAATTTAAGTGTCTCTTTCAGAACTAATTTTCAACACCCTTACCAGTTTTAATTCATACAAACTATTAATGATCCTAAGGGAAAATGTAAGCATTAAAATCAGCAGTAGTTTGTATTATGCTTGTATGTTCTTCACTTTCTTAGGATTGTAGCTGTTTCAGTGTAGCATAAATCAGCTAGACTCTTTCATTTGTTATTTATCACACAGGGGATACTCTTGTTGAGAGCTTTGGTTCTCAGTGGGGGAAATGTTATTTTCTAGGAGGTGTTCTAGAAGTTTATGAGGGTATTTTTTGTTGACAAAATAATTGAAGGACATTTAGTGAGTGAGTCCAGGGAAGGAGGTCTATAGTGGGTGGGGCAATTTTAAATGAACCTAATTAGAATACCAAGTATATTTTGTAAAGTTTTAACATGCACTGAATTTTCCTAGGTATATAACCACAATGTATATTGAAGAAGATTGTACTCAACTTTGTTCTGAACTTGGCCAGTAGTTCGCCATTTCGAAAAATCCTGTTGCCTGTGGCAGTCATGTTTGTAGTAGTTGGCTTACCAATAGAGAGTATACCAGTCTGTGGACATTTGTAATTGTTACATTCACTGTGATTTTATGAATAGGTACTAGCTTTCGATTACTTCATTATGTCTTCTGGTGTAATCATTTCTGAGGTTAATATTGAAATACTTGTGTTTATCGTAGATTTCTTTTCTTTTTTTTTTTTTTTTTAAGATTTTATTTATTTTGACAGAGAGAGAGCAGCGAGAG